GGCGAGTGTGTATCATTTGGAGCTTGTCGGAGGCTTTGAGGCCCCGCGTCACATCTGAGAATTGCTCCCTGAGCGATTTCAAAAACTCAAAGAGGGGTGTCAGTCTAGAATAGGTGACCATATTGTTCTCACAGTTGCAGCGCGGGCGAGCGACCTAGCAAAACTGGTCGCCTCATCTCGAAGGGGCTGGAAGGCCATCAAAACGTGGTCCTCAGGCGTGACTCCCCGTAAGAAAAGATAGGAGTGCACGTTGGCCTCCCAGTTGTCGAAATCCTCCCCCTGCTTTCCACTGAAGGGTTCGGCGAAACGGACCTTGACTTTCTCACGGCGTGGTGGGGCCGACTCCTCTTCCTTGGGAGTCGCTAACTTGGCGCCAGTGCAGAATTCTTTTGTCTTACTAATTGCCAGGTGGACCTGGTCCACCAGGTACTTCATCATGTCGCGAGCAAAATCTTTAAACCCAGAACGTATCCCATCTATCTTTACATCTAAGTTGCGGATGTACTGCGTTTGCTCGCGATGTGCAATTAGTAAAGATTCCACACTTCGGGTCAGGGTATCGAGTTCAGTGGCTATCTCGGTCTCTTCCCTGATCTTCCCCATCCTAGTCTCCCCTGCTTTCAAGTCCCTTTCTGCTCGCTCCGTCGCCTCCAAATGCCTAACTCTTTCTTGGGACAAACACAGTTCCATGCCCTTTGCTGTTCCTCCTCTTTCGCCTTTCTCCTCACCGGGTCCCTTTCTACTTCTAACTCTCTCCTTGCCGCCTCTCTCTCTTCTTGGGGTATGGCCAGCTCTGCCTCCCTGTCTTTCCCCAAGTGTGCGGTCAATTCTTGTGTTGTCTTCACAATCTCCTCCTCCTTACTCGTGCTGGCTTCACCTCTTCTCCTTACCAGCGGTACTTCTTCTTCCACTTGCTTTTCTTCTTCTTCTTCTTTCTCCACCTCCGCTTGTATAGCCGCCATCTTCTCCTCCTGGTCTGTCGTCCATTTCTTCAGCTCCTCCTCCATCTGCCTCTTCTCTGCCTCTTGCTCCTTCAGCAGGGCCAGCATCTTGGCCTGCTTGATCAACTTTCTCTTCTCCACTCTCTCCTTCCTCTCTCGTAGAATAGCAACAACTCTCTCCTCTTGCTCCTTGTTGTAGGGGGTGGTGCTAGTTCCAGACCTGAGGTCCACCATGGTGATGGTGCACAATGAACAACAATTTCGTGCCTCAACACATAGACTGTACAGGTTAACTTGTTTCTAGGGGGCTTGTATTCTCTACTCCGGTTGGACTCACAACTCTACAGTCACATCCACAGAGTCCTATAGAACTGGACAGAAGAGAAGGGAAGATATGACTGACTGACCCTAACGGACTTGACGTCAGCAGGTACCAAGGTGAAGGTGCACATGCACGAGGTAAGGGGATAGGCCAGGGCTTGGAAAGATGGTACCGGTAATCTTCTCGCTCCAGTTGGGTCAACGCTCTGATCAACAGTCTTGGTCAACTCGCCAGTCAATGCTCCTGGTCAACGCCCTGGTCAACTTTGGTCAACGCCCGATCAACGCCCTTGGTCAACCCTTGGTCAACGATGGTCAACTCCCCTGGTCAACCTTCCAACCTTCCGGCTATGGTGGACCTTCTTCTTCGTCAAAACCTTCGTCTTCTTCACCTTGGCTACGGCTGCCTTAATCTCCCTTCTTCGGCACTTTCTTCTTCCTTTCCTCTGTGTCTATCTCTTCTTCTTGCTGATCGTCTTCTTCCCCGAGCTTGGCAGCTATGGCTGCCGTCCCCCCTTCTCTCTCTTCCTCTCTCTCTCTCTCTCTCTCTCTCTCTCTCTCTCTCTCTCTCTCTCTCTCTCTGTGTGCTGAGCTCCGGCTATGGCGGTTTCTTCCTTCTTCTTCGCTTGCTGCAGCTCTGCCGGCTTGGACAACGGGTACTAGCTCTGATACCAATGCAATCAGACTCGACTTCAGACTTGCTCACAACATGCATACACAGGACTGATGGCAGAACCAAACCCTTCAACTCAGAATCAACATTGAACTTG